TGCTCCTTCGCCGAACCCCTTTCCCCTTGTACTCTCCCTTCACCCGCACCTCTCCTCCCGTACCTCCCCCTTCCCCTGAACCTCTTCTCCTGCAACCCTCCTGATACCCCCTCTTCTCCTCCGCGAGTACATCACACCCCGCTTCTCTGCCAGCGTAGAGCCCCCAAGCACCCCCACACCCGCTCCTCTGCCTGAACCCTCTTTACTAGATCCCCATCCGTTTCCGGGTACAAGGGTTAGTCCCTGTGCCTTCCATGTGCATTTGGAGCACTAAAGATGGGGTTGCAGGGGCTGGGGGGGGGGCACAAGTTTTATATAAAGTGAAATGAAAATAGGAGAAATAGTTTGATCCCCGCTGCAAGTGTAAATGGGGATTGCTGTGGTGAACGAGGAGGTCACGTTTTGGGGGGGAGCCCAGGGCTGGGGTGGCAGGGGGTGCGGGTCGGGGGGGAAGAGAGAGAGCCCAGGGCTGGGGCAGCAGGTTGTGCGAGTGGGGGAGGGTACTGGTGGGGAGGGGGAAGAGCCCAGGGCTAGGGTGGGGGGCAGCCAAAATTTTTTTTGCTTGGGGCGGCAAAAAACCTAGAGCCATCCCTGCTCACTGCAACAATTAACACCATCGCAGATTAGCATAGCTGCAGGTGAATGAAGTTCTGTTTTTCAGTCTGATGCTTAATAATCTGTTTAGGCTATGAGCCAGTACGTTTCCAGTGCCAGGTAGGTGATGGGTCATGTCTTAGCGAGGCTCTGATAAGGAAAAATAGTTCAAGCATGGCATACCGAAAAGTCTGACACGCAAAGGACTGTGCCTATTTGACTGAAACTTACTTTGTATAAAATAACAAGGAATCCTTGTGGCAGTTTAGAGACTAACACATTTATTTGGGCATAAGTTTTCGTGGGCTAAAACCCACCTCATCAGAGGCATGTAGTGGAAAATACAGTAGGCGGAATATAAAATGTTGTTGAAAAGTTTTTTAGTATTGCAAAGTTTCAAGCCTGCACAACTCGTAATGCGGCAAGGGCCATATTACTCCAAAGGAAACAGCTGAGGGCCGAACCCCCCCCCAGGCCCGCCAACCCCCCCAAAACATAACACACACACTCACCCTCCAAGTGCCGCTCGCCCCGCGGAAACAAACCCTCCTTCCCCAGCGCCGGCCAGCCGAAGGAATGGTATTGAACCTTGGTAATATGTTATAGCGGGCCCCGAAGTTAGTATAATTAAGGTAAAAGAAAAATGGCTTTTTGCTAGAAGTAGACTAAATAAGATCTTCCCCCCACTTTGTAATCAGTTGCCCCGTTGAATGAATGAGGTGTGAATGAGGAAGGCACGGAAGGCAGGCACCTCCAGACAGCTGCAACCCTTGGAGAGGGGATGGGAGCCAGACCAGATCAGTAGAACAGGCCAGCCACCGACTCGACTCATAGCTCGCTGCCTCAGCCCCCCATCCCCCTGGCTCACCTACTCACCCCCGGTCACTGCCCGCCCGCTTGCCACCTCAGCCCCCCACCCCACCGGCCAGTGATGAGCTGCCAAAATCTAAACAACCAGTTCCCTCCTCAGCCCCCCTCCCTCACCCGCTGCCCTGGGCCGCACAGTGAGCCCACTCGGGCCGCATGTTGTGCAGGCCTGGTTTAAAGCATGTGCTGTACTTTAGTAATAGCACTTGTCTAGAACAAGTGAAACTATTCCAAATTGTGACCATTCTAGTGTTACTGCTTGTGATTAACTAACTGTAAAAAAGCTTAACAATCACTACATATCAGTATAGAGATGTCATGCTACAAAACACTTCAGCTGCTGATCTCCAGCTGTGTGGGAGGGGTGGAGGTGGGGGAGGAGTAAAGGGAATTAAAGAACCCACATGCCAGTCAGTCTAGTCATATCTTTGAAAGAACTCTGGAGTTCTGTAACAGATGTTGAAAGAAAATAGGTTAGAAATTAAGTGAATGTGATGTAATAGTGTGATTTGGCTTGGGTTTTTTTATCACCAATTGCTCTTGCTCAGATCTGTGCAAATCTATCTCCCCTTTATGCTAGAATGACCCATTGTAGCCTACTTTTGTCATGCTCTTGGATACAAAGTTGATGGGGATATGCCTGGTGTTAAGTTTTTATAGTTCTGATGGTAACTGGGCTGTAGAGGTGGAATTAATCATGTAATAAGTACCTTTCCATTAGCCTTTTGATAAATCCAACCTGTTAAGGTTTGGTCTCAGCTGTGTAAATACTGTTCAAAAAGTGCCATCTAGTGGCTGGAGCCCTTACTGAAATGTTCTTCCCAGATCTGGAGCCTGGCCAGAAAAGCTATGTTACTACCTTACTAGTGTAAAAAATAAATACATAAAACTTAGATTAGAAACCTGCTCAGAGTTTCCCCAAGCTGGTGTCATTTCATGCCCAAGTTTTACAATATAGGGTACCTCCCACCTTGGGCATGATGTATAAAACTAGTCTGCTTCAAAACTTTTATAAACTATATCCAGTTTGAGCACATGCATGCAGGCTAGATGACTTGTAAGGATTTTAAAACTAGAATTTAAGGCATTTAAAAATATTTAGTGCACTCTTGCATAGGAGTAGCATTCAACCTGCAATTAAAAGCATCTGTTATCCTTTTATTTCTCTTAAGGCTTGCCATGGATGTGCATCAGGATCCAAATGTGACTGCAGTGGAGTAAAAGGCGAAAAGGTAAACCCTTTGTTTAAATTTTTCATCTGTTGAAAATAGCTTCTGAAACAACTGAATTGTTCAGGACTTATGAAGTTGGGATTTAAGTCTTTTAAAAAAAAAAGTGTTTTATGAACTTAATGTACTGTACAGTGGTGTGGGTATTTTGTACTTCTGGGCATGTTTTTGGTGGTAATTGGTTTGTTCACACAAAACAAAAGTACATAGGTAAGTGTTGTAATAACAATAGTAAATCTCAGGGAGTGGGTGAGGCCTAATGGACCAATATGGTAGCAGCACGTTAAGTGGGCTCCTAACATCGCTTTAGTGGGAAGAGTGGAAGGGGAGGCAGCAATTAAATATACTTGTCCTGGTATATTAGACTGAGAACATTAGGGAGGCAAATTTGACAAAGTGGAAAGTCATGTTTACTATACTACTGTTACCCAAGTTCCCCCCTGCTGTCTTGATATGCAACTAAATCATGGGCATGCACAAAGCTTTCCTGACAATTATGTTTACTCCTCTTCCATGTTGACTTATCAGTTAATGGAAGATTTTAGTCTGACTAAGACCAAGCAAGCTGTATCAAATGAACTGGACAGTTTCAATGCCTCCAGCTGCTTCTACTTTTTCTGCATCTGCGTAAGCAGGCGTACATTTTCAGAAGCTGGAAGAAACCCTTTAAAAATGAGTGGTGCAATATCAGGAAGGTTTGATGTCTTCTAGGAACAGTCTTCACAATTTGAAGCAAACTGGGCTCCCAGTTTACTACTACTGACAAGATCTTTGGCTTAGTTCTTTTGGAGTAACCATAGCAATATGACGTCAGAATTGGCTAAGAAGAACTCCTTATTAAAGACTAGGGTAGACCTGGTGGGAAACGGAGAATACTAGGCTTGTGATTTGCAGGACGTTCTGAGGGATGCTATAGCCAGTCTCCTCTTAGTACTGGATGCTGCCGTCCCCCTTTGAGAGGCAAGCTTTTCTTTGTGTAATTGGAACGGAATCACCACCCCCTACAGGAGATAGGTTGGTGATGTTTTGTATGAAGGGAATGTTCCTTACTTTATACTTTGATCTGAAACTGGATGGTGCTGGTAAAATGTTGGCCCTTTGGGCCATGAACGTGACTGTCTGTGCTCCTGAACTTATAAATCTTGGTTGATGATCAACTTATCCTCTCCTCAGAATGCAACATGTTTGTGGAGCAACATGATGATGGGATTATAGAAACATAGGGCTAGATATTCCTGTTCTGCAGCAGGATCAAATAACTTAGACCCTCTCTGACAGGTGTTTGTCTAACCTGCTCTTGCAAAGTCTCCAGTGGTGGGATTCTGCAGCCTGTTCCACTGCTTAACTAGCCTTATAGTTAGAAAGTTTCTCTAGTACTTAACCTGAATCTACCTTGCTGCAAACTAAGGGAGTATCAAGGAGGTATTCAAGTGTGGTCAATAGGTCTGGACATTCAGAAAACTACATGGGAACATATCAATATAAACATTACCAGGCTTTTCAGGCACAGGAGGCCAGATCCTCAGCTGGTCTAATTAGATGTGGCTCTAGCCCTAAATTAGGATATTCCCTTAGTTTGCAGCAAGGTAGATTCAGGTTAGGTACTAGAGAAACTTTCTAACTATAAGACTAGTATTTCCTTTTATTAGTTTTAAATCTGCTACCTATTAATTTCATTGGCTGACTCCCTGATAGTTGTGTTATGTGAAGGGGTAAATAACACTTCCCCATTCACTTTCTCTACCGTTCATGATTTTGTAGGTATCTATCACATCCCTACCCCCTTAGCTGTCTCTTTCTAAACTGAACAGTCCCAGTCTTTTTGATCTCTTCATATAGAAGCTGTTGCATACCTCAAATCATTTTTGTTGCCCTTCTCTGTACCTTTTCCAATTCTAATATCTTTTGTTTTGGGATGCAACTGCAACCAGATCTGCATGCAATATTCTAGATGTGGGTGTATCTTGGATTTATATAGTGGCATTATGATATTTTCTATCCCTTTCCTAATGGTTCCTAATATTTTGTAGT